TGGCCTAACCCTCAGCTCTCCCTGCCCCCTGCTTCTTCCCCTGGCCCCCCAGTTAAGCACAGACGCAGGGCCTCCTGGCTGCCCCCTGCCATCCAGCCCCCCAGAGGCGAGCTGACCAGAGACAACGGTCCTCAGAGATGAGGAGTGCTGCCCATCCCTACTGGAGGACTTGAAAGATGAGAGAAAGTCTCACACTCAGGCTCAGCTCCGTTGGGGCCTCAGGACCGAACCGCCTGGCTGCCAGTCCCGCTCCCCAGTGCACACAGCACAGAGCTCTGGAACCTTACCCGGGGCGGCTCCCTGTCTCTCTCAGGAAGTCCTTCTAGCACCTCAGGAGAAGTGAGCATGTGGAGGTGAGATGGCAGGAGAGGGTCAAGAGGGAGGAGAGAAATAGCAAGAGAGGAGAAAGCAGAGAGGGTGAGGAGGGAGCGGGGGAGGCTAGTGCAGGGAGAGACGGAGGATGTGAGGCGCAGAGGGCCAAGGCAGGGCGGGGACGAGGCAGTAAACCAGAAGGCCAGTCATTTGGGGACCACAGGAGGCCCCCCACACTTACTTCCAGAAGGAAAACTGGGATTCCTGGAGAAAATCTTCTCTGCTTTCAAGGCCAGCCTCCTGGAGTGGCCCAGAACCTTCCTGAACCCCTCCCTGTGCTCTAGCCCCAAAGCACCTCAGCACAGGCTCTAAACAGGTATTTCTGGGGGGACATTCCAGCCCATTCCCCAGCACTGCATGTCCCCCTTTTAATCTTTCAGACGCCAATAGCACGAACACGTTCCCATAGAGATTACTTCCCCATGCCCACACAGAGAGCCCAGCACTGCCCCCGCTGGCGCAGGGGGCAGGACGCCCACCCTCTAGTCCGCTCTGCCCAGCCAGGCCCACGGACCCCGGTGGAGGTTACTCAGCGTTTCCCTCTTTCTCCTTCCCAATCCTGCCTTGGGAGCTGGAATTGGGGCCCCCGCAGCCTCCAAGATCCCAGCTGGAGGTTACTGACTCCTAGACGAGGAGCCGGAAAAAAGGACTGTCTTAGCAGGTGGAAGTGATTCAAAAGGAAAAATAAAGAGAGAAATGGAGCAGTAATGACTCCCTGGGCTGCAGGTAGAATGGGAAGTGAGGGATAAGGAGAAAGGAGGGGAATGGGAGGACGGGGAGGGGGAGCCGGCCAAGGACAGGCCCTGGGGCTGCTCACTGGCCACTAGGTCAGTGTGTCCACGCGCAGAGCCTGGGACGGAGGGAGGCAGGATTGAGGGGAAATCGTTCCAGCATCATATGGCTCCCCCACGGTCACGGCGCCAGCGGGTCTGACCTCGAGCAAGAGGCCCGGCAGGCGGGCCAGCGGGCGGACACTTACACACAGATGTCTTCTGGCTGTTATCTTTGCTGGGCATCAGCTTCACGCCTCGAGACTTCAACTCAATTTGCTTCTTGACTAGAGAGGAGGAAAAACACTTCAAGTTATTGCCTGTGAGTGGGGATGGGGGGCTCTCTAGAACAGCGGTTCTCAACCTTCCTAATGCCGCGACCCCTTAATACAGTTCCTCATGTTGTGGTGACCCCCAACCATAAAATGATTTTCGTTGCTACTCTATAANCCTGCTGGCATGTCATTACTGATGACAGCAGTCCTCTGTACCCTGGGTATAAGTGTGCTGAGTAGCGCTGGCAGTTCATAGCCCTCCCCTTCTCCTTAGGGCGTGGGCACTGTTCCCAGGGCTGGACCAGGAAAGAATGGCTCTTCTCTAGAAGGTGTCTGTCCCAGTATCTACACCATCCTGTGCGTCCTACCTCCAGGAAAGCAACCCCTGTCTTACCCCCAACCGTCCATCCCACCCTTCCTGCAAGCAGGAAGTTCCCAAACAGATCTTACCTGAAATCCGAGCCTAGCCTTTTGCCCCTTTCAGGTATGCCAGGGTCTGGACACATATTATGCCCTTGGGACACACCAACCTGAGTTACTACAAGGCAAAAAAACAGCACATATAGAGATGGATAATCACAGGAAGTCACCAGCCCAGGCAGTGTCTTAGGGTGGGAAGTGGACGCAGAGACAGAATGAGGCCCTGCTATGGTGGGGCCGTGTTGCTGGGGTCTATCAGACTCGGGTTCCCTGAGTGTGCAAGGTGAGGGAGCTGCTTTTGACAAATTCCTTTGTGAGCAAAGTCCAAGTGAAATTCATCAAGAGCGTGTGGGCTCAGAGACGGGCACCCCAAACCAACAACCACCCCATTCCCTCGTCCCACGTCAACGGCCAGAGGTGGACGGTCCAAGGCCACCCAGTGACCTCCCCACCCTGAGCTTCAAGTCCTGGGGTGGCGATTCTAGATGAGATGAGCCCCCCCAACCTCAGCCCCACATGGAGAAATGACTCAAAGAAAGTTAAATAAAAGATGGATGCGTGACCAGAAACGGTAAAGAATGTAAGAGAAAGCTGTAGTCTGAAGTTCAAAGCAGGAACTTTAGCTCAAACACAGATATTTCTGCTGAGAAACCTCTTCCCATCAGACGCTTGTCAAGTCAGAGTGAGCAGTAACCAGAGCATCCCCACCCCCACTGCCCAATGCCGCCGGCCAAGGGCACCGAGAAGAAATGGCACCTGCAGTGGTTTGTCAGGTGGTGTGATGCTTTCACACTTGCCACCACCAAAGTCCTGTTTACAAAAAACATGTGCACAGTTGTCTTGGCTAGAGGGGGAGCTTGGTCAGGCGGCAGACATACACAAAGTTTGTTTTCTCCTCTGGCCCCTGCTGGTTCATTGTTCTTGAAGATGCTCCTACTCATGAGGTTGGAACCCCCTCATACCTCTGCATTCCTGGCTTTGGGGATTCCATTCAAGTCCTCACCAGTCCCACAGTCCCAACAGCACCCTCCACACAGGAAGTCTGGAGCAAGGTTCCCTGAGTTGGCCCACTTCTGCCCCGCCCACTCGATGTCCCACAATATGAGCAACACACCCCATCACTCATTGACCCAGTCACTCATTACCGCACATGAGTCCACAACAAGCATTAATTGAGCACCTACTGTACACACGGCCCTATTTTGAATACCATAGGAGATGCCAATGTCAGATGTCAGATTACGACCTCTGTCCTCAAGGAGCCCCCGGTTGAGTGAAGACATGAAACATGAAAACAAACTACAAAACCACAATGGGGAAGTAATGAAAGATGCAGCTACAGGGAGATGCAATGAGGAAGGACCCGTTTCATATTGCTGAGAGAAGCATGAAAGGCTGCCTGGAGGAGGTGGCATTCAGCATGGACCATCTGCGATAGTAGGATTTCTAAAAGCAGTGACAGAGGAATGGGAGTTCAGACGGACAGATAGGCGCTGGGAGTGAGGTAGAAACATAGAAACACAGCTGGGGGTGCCTGGTGTGACCAGGACAGGAGGGAGGGTGATGAGTGACATGGAAGAGCAGAAGATGAGCTTTCAGAAGTCAGACTTTTAAGGGCTGCGCGTCTGCTCCTGAAAGTGATGGGGAGCCACTGAAGAGCCCTGAGACGGGGAAAGGACATGGGAAGATCTGGATGGCTCACAGGGAGGCCAGTTACTGCGAGGCGAGTTAGGAAGTTCTGTGACTGTCCCGGTAAAGGACAACAAGAGCCTGGTAGTGGGGACAGACAGAAGTGTGTGGAAATGGATGTGACAAAGGAAGGATCACCAGGGCTCATGGAAGGCTAGGGTGTGGGGGGCAGGGGCAGGGGAGTTTGCGGCCTGGGAACCTGTGATGGGTCCCGTTTTACACTCACTGAGTCTGAAGCTCGTGTCTACAGTGAGAAGCCTGGCGTAGAGTCTGTGCAAACCTCCAGGTACCCCAGGGCATGGCCGGCCGAGGGAACCTGAGGATTTGGACAGGCTGCAGCTCAAGCTAGATGCCTGGTCCCAGGCAATGAACTCAAGGCCCCTTGGGAAGCCTCCCTTTCGCCAACATTTCACATTGTCAGATTAAATCCAGCCNCAAAAACAATATGTAATTATATATTGTGAAATATTTATTTCTAATTACAAACAAATGAAATTTTGTCTTGAAGCATGGAGACGGATACAGGAGCAGTGTCTTGGTTCCTAAGACCATCGAAAATATGTGTTTTCCGAGGGTTTTAGGCGACCCCTGTGAAAGGTCATTCGACCCCCAAAGGGGTTGCGACCCACAGGTTGAGAACCGCTGCCCTAGGGGAACCCTGTCCTCCATTGCCCTGGAGTGCATCTGATTGCTCCTGGAATCCTGTGGGAAGAAACACTGAGATTCACAGACTGATGAGACAGCGGGGCCTGAGGACAGCGGCCATGGTGAGGAGAGCGGCCAGGGTGGGGTTTACCAGCTTAGCCTTCTGGGTTTTCAGTCTACTTGCTGGTGGTTAAGCCTGGGTAAGTTAGAAAACCCCTCTGATTCTACTTCCTCATCTGTAAAGTGGGGCTAGTGCTATCACCTCATGGAGGCATGCTGAGGGTGAAGTTATAGGAGATAATGGATGTGAAGACTCACTCGGGGACATCATCAGTGCTCAACAAAGGGGACCCAGGACTGTCAGACTCCCAATGCCATGTTCATTTAATTTCAAGACTTCTCTCAAGACCAAAGATCTTTTTTCTACCTTTCTTGAAGTTTCTCCACGTAGGATTTTTTTCCCCCCCTGTGACCACACTTGAGACTGACAGCATTACTAAACAAATTACAGGAAGATCATCAAAACCCAAACCATGACCCCAGCCCACCTCTGCAGGGGACCTGTGGATTCAGAACGCTAGCCCTGCATGGGAATCCTTACAAACCTCCACCAGCACCATCCTATACCTCTTCTGGAAAGCCAGGCTTTGCTGCCTTAAAAGCCCTCAGCTTCAGACTGAATTTATCCTGTACTGGTTCCCAAAAATTAGATGGTATTTGCAGTCTATCGAAACATGTTGAAGGTAATTAGAGAAAACAGGTCAAAAAGGCATCTACCACTTTAAAAGCTTAGAGGAAATTAATTAAAATATTATAATCTGCAAATATGATGAGGTTCTCACATGTTTTAAGGTGCTCCATTCGCTGCAGGGAGCACCTCCAAATAGGTTCGGAATGGGGCATCAGCTACTTTTTCCCTCTGCTCTGGGCAAGGTCAGGGGGGGTCTGTGGACAGACAGACTTTCTCCTGAACAGCCAGCCCCTGGGATCCCACCGACAGATGGATAGATAGCTGATGGCTGCAATCCACATGGACTGGCAAGATGGCAGATGCTCAGACAAGGTCTGAATAAATGAATAAACACATGTTTACGTTTCTCTTTTTGCCTTTTCCCATCAAATGCTCTGCTGGATAACTCTCAGGAGATTTCTCTGGGACCTTCCATGCCTAAGTTCCGCAGCCTGTCTCTCTCTCTCTCTCTCCCTGCCTCTGGACATCACGACACCATAGAACAGGGTCAGTATTCCAGGAGACCTTAGGGGGACACCATCTCCACCCACAGCCTGTTCTGGCACCGAAACAACTTGGCACTGAAGAGGAAATTGCTCCAGATGGAGGTTCCTTTGCTCTTCTGTCTACTCCCCAAATCTCACGCCCACTCGGTTCCATGCTGCCTTCCCTTGCTTCTCCGTCCACCTGCCTCCTCATCCTTTCCACAGTCCTCTGGAACCACATCCTCATCATCAATTTTCAGGCAAACAGACCTGACTTGCATCTGCAACATCTTTCAGTACCTCCTGCTCCAACTTCGGCCTTGACTGAAGCCCGTCTCCCACTCCCAGCCCACCGCTTCCTCGGCAGCTCTCTGGAGTGGGGAGCTTTCTCCTCCCCTCCGGTATTGTGTCCTGCAAAGCACTTGCTGAACCCCTAGAGGATCTCTTCTTTGACCTTCACCTAGATCTCACTCCACTGATACCAACATTTTCTCTCTACCCTCCAGCATCCCGTCTTCTCTTCTGTCCTTACTCAACTTAGATCCCACGGTCCACCATTATGATCGTTTTCTTGCAAGTCCCCCGAAACACCCTTGCTCCTTTCCCCTTTCATCAGTTGCCTGGAAGACATCAGTTGTGGATGAACCTCTCCACTTACATTCTCTCGCCCTATCCCCATACAGTTGAGCTTGTCTGGAGAAAAATCACATGAAGAGGAAGATGGACGTCACTACAAATGCATGAGTACCCCACCCCCCTCCGAAGATCCTAGATATTACCTAGCAACGCTGACAGTGACAATAGCTCTATGAAGCTCATTCTCCCACGCTGCTCAAAGACTCTTCCATGCCTTCTGCATGCCCCTGGGACCTCTTCCCCTTGCCCTTGCCTCCCATGACCCCCAGTTGTTGACTTGGCCTCAGTCTTTCTGGATTAAAAAGGGGACATCTGGCATGCACGCCCTCTCCCTCATCCCCCATTCCTGTGCTTATGTACCCACAGTCTTCCCTTCAGTTCCTTTGCTTTCTAGAGAAAAGCCCCTT